CTCGCTGGTGTCTCTCTTTTCTCTCTCTGGTCTCTCACTGCTCTCTCACCGGTCTCTCAATGGTCTCTCGCTGGTCTCTCTCTGTTCTCTCTCTGATCTCTCTCTGGTCTCTCTTTAGTCTCTCTCTGGTCTCTCTCTGGTCTCTCGCTGGTCTCTCCCTGGTCTCTCTTTAGTCTCTCTTTTGTCTCTCTCTGGTCTCTCTCTGGTCTCTCTCTGGTCTCTCGCTGGTCTCTCCCTGGTCTCTCGCTGGTCTCTCTCTGTTCTCTCTCTGGTCTCTCCCTGGTCTCTCTCTGTTCTCTCTCTGGTCTCTCCCTGGTCTCTCTCTGTTCTCTCTTTGGTCTCTCTCTGGTCTCTCTCTGGTCTCTCCCTGGTCTCTCTCTGTTCTCTCTCTGGTCTCTCTATAGTCTCTCTCTGGTCTCTCTTTGGTCTCTCTGTTCTCTCTCTGTTCTCTCTCTGGTCTCTCCCTGGTCTCTCTCTAGTCTCTCTCTGGTCTCTCTCTGGTCTCTCACTGGTCTCTCGCTGGTCTCTCGCTGGTCTCTCTTTAGTCTCTCTTTAGTCTCTCTTTAGTCTCTCTTTAGTCTCTCTTTAGTCTCTCTCTGGTCTCTCACCGGTCTCTCTCTGGTCTCTCACTGCTCTCTCACCGGTCTCTCACTGGTCTCTCCCTGGAGCGAGTCAGAGCACTTCCGTAGCAGGATTCGTTGAGCTAGCGTGTTAGCATTGTCAACGCCCTGTCCTGTGTTTTACGAACTGTGCTATACAAATTAACTTGCCTCGTACATTTTTATGACACTATATATACAGGGTTCGGTGCCTGAATCCATTTAATTATGACTCAAGATTCACTTCCCAAATATCTCTGTGTTTGTTTCCTGATGTATAAAGTCATTTTGGTTATATTCAGTTAAGTATGATCCATTTAACTGACTTTTATGACCCAAACAACCGATGATTTACAAAATAAAATCATAAATATTGAGAGGGTGCACAGACCTTTGCATGTGATGGGTCCCAAGCTGCAGTGATGACAAACATGAACTAAAATATTCTCCCACAATCTGTAAAAAAATAAATAAAGAACAGTCTCAGTGAAAAATGGACTCAACACTTCAACACTTCCTGTTTGTGTCTGAGGGTCACGGTCAATGCGGCCCCCCTGCTACAGCGGAGAATGACAACAGTTCCTACAATATTTCAACAATTCTACTTATTGTATTTTGTAAATATAATTATCTCTAACTTACAAACAAATAATTACACAATTACAAATGTAAACAAACCGTTGCTGTAATAATGTATTTGTAGCACACGTGCCACACTCTCAGCCCCGCCCTCTCCCGCCGGATCACGTTACCGGGTGATTAGCCAGGTCCCTACCCACCGCGGCTTTCTCTTTTATCGAACGCTAATTACCAAAGACAAATAGAGTGAGCGGGGCCTTCCTGTGCGGCAGAAGCAGACCAGACCAGACCAGACCAGACCAGACCAGAGAATAATACACATGGCGGAAAATGAGTCATTGTAGGGTGTTTGGACGGCGGTCTGAGGGCGCCAGGTCATAAATCATAACGTTGCAACTGGGCGATGGAAAGAGTCACATCCACACAGTTTACACGGGTCTTGGGTCTTGGGGTTGGTTGCCAAGAGCAAACTTTTGGACTTTTTTCAAGAGGTAAGAAGATACTATATGTTAGCATTGGCTATTTCTTATTCCGGGTCCACCCCCACAGGCCCGGGGTGGTATTGCAGCATGTCAGGGCACGTCATTTTGGACATTTTTGAGCCGGGACCCGCCCCCACTGGACTCACCTGATTATAAGCCGCACCTGTGCCACATTGTAATACTGAAAAAATGTCAGTAAAATATTTACCCAATATATTAAAAGTGAGGACTTGTTTTACTAACAAATCTTACATTTAATTGAACGTCTGTCAACTACTCATCAATTTTGTTTTTAACGCCAGAAAAATAACGAATGAAGCCGCACCTGACTATAAGCCGCAGTCTTCAAAACGCAGGGAAAAAGCCGCAGCTTATAGTCAGGAACATACGGTAAGTAATGTATATATTTGGTGCATTTTTACAATTTTTCTACTCTCTCCAAACACGGTTAAGCGAGACTCCGAACACATCACAGCCCTCGGTACATGGTTTTAGTGGTCAGAGAAACCGGAGCACCTGGAGGAACCCGGAGCAGACAGAGGCAGATTAACCCAGGACCTCCTTACAGTGAAACAGACACTGTCACCGCAGCCCTGGTACCGTATGAGCTAGTAACAATAAAACTACAAGTTAAACTGTTTGTGTTAATAATACTGTAAAGATAAAACACTGTAAATAATGTAAAAATAATACTGTTCTAGAAATATTAAATCTTAAAAAAATTCTGGCTCAATTCTATCACTTAGTGCTTTTGCTGGAACTTTCTACTGTAGATATATGGTTTCCAACTTCTACTGCACAACTCAAGAAAAAGCAGCACATTATTTCAGTTTGAGTCTTATATTCAGGTGCGGCTTATAGTCCGGACAGTTCTGTATTCTGCTTCTCCATTTGTACTTTTTTGAGTCTGAGTCCAGCCACAGACCCTCAGAGTCCGACGCTGGTATCTCCTCTGGATACAGCAATCTGTGAATACTATTACCTGCTTGTATCTTGTTCCATCTCCTCTCCGGGGGGAGAGGGGGGGGGCTGCGGTGCTGATGGTATCCTAACCATAGCTATTTAGTCAGCGGGAAATGCATTCACTCGGATTCCAGGCGGCTGCGGCCAGAAAGGTGCTATCAGAGCCCATTATTTGCCGCATGGACGCATCGCTTTCTTGGAAATGTCAGAAGGGCCCCCGTGTGGAGGAGATAAAAGCCCTGTTGGACCCGGGACTGAGGCTGTAGACCCAGGACTGAGGCTGTAGACCCAGGACTGAGGCTGTAGATCCAGGACTGAGGCTGTAGATCTAGGACTGAGGCTGTAGACCCAGGACTGAGGCTGTAGATCCAGGACTGAGGCTGTAGATCTAGGACTGAGGCTGTAGATCCAGGACTGAGGCTGTAGATCCAGGACTGAGGCTGTAGATCCAGGACTGAGGCTGTAGATCCAGGACTGAGGCTGTAGATCTAGGACTGAGGCTGTAGACCCAGGACTGAGGCTGTAGATCCAGGACTGAGGCTGTAGATCCAGGACTGAGGCTGTAGATCCAGGACTGAGGCTGTAGACCCAGGACTGAGGCTGTAGACCCGGGACTGAGGCTGTAGATCCAGGACTGAGGCTGTAGACCCAGGACTGAGGCTGTAGACCCGGGACTGAGGCTGTAGATCCAGGACTGAGGCTGTAGACCCAGGACTGAGGCTGTAGACCCAGGACTGAGGCTGTAGACCCATAAATCCCAAACCGTGCTTTCATAAATATAATAATTATGATAAATAATGATGTTATTGTAAAATAATGCAGTTAAACCGTGTGTGCCGCAGTAACAGCCAGATGTGCCCAGGTGTGTGCACAGGGAACAGATGTGAGCTTTTTATCGACCAATCACATCACTCGGATTTAAGAGCGGCGGTGGATTTTCATTCATGACATCACGGTTTTTCCAAGACGTGTGTGGGACTCAAAAGTGCAGCCTCAGTCCTGGGTCTACAGCCTCAGTCCTGGGTCTACAGCCTCAGTCCTGGATCTACAGCCTCAGTCCTGGGTCTACAGCCTCAGTCCTGGGTCTACAGCCTCAGTCCTGGGTCTACAGCCTCAGTCCTGGGTCCACTCTCAGAAATAAGGGTACGTTAGGAGACCATTTCTGTACTCATAGGTACAAATCTAGAACATTGTAACCCAAGTAGATCATTATTGGTCCTTAAGATACATTATTGAGCCTTTTGGGGGTAAAAGAGGTACAATGCAATTTTTTAAATGTAAAAGGCACATAAATGTACCATCTAGGTTAAAATTTGAGCCTAGAGGGAACAATATTGTCCCCAAGTAGGGACTATTTTAGATGAATGCGTGAATACATGAACAACAGCAGCTATGAGGAAGGACACTGTTAGTGCTTCGGTCTTTTAATTTTCCCGCTGCGAGGACCCCGGACTTGGACTAACTCATGGAGGGACAGGCTTCAAGGGCTCTTTGAACCGAGGAGCTTTTGTAAAATGTGCTTCATTCTGGAATAGATGTGTCCGAGGAGGAAGCCAAACGATTCAGGGGTAAGTTTGAACAAACACAGTACTTGTATTATTTTGTAAGTTAGCTTGTAGTACAAGCCAGCTCTATGCTAAGCTAGTTGAAAATGCTGACTCAGATGCTGTTTAAACCATGGCCATCGTCTGGGTCAAGATAATGTTTTATTTCGTTTATGTGTTTTATGAAGATGTTAAGTCAAATGGATGTGAAAACTCGCGTTAGCATTAGCTGCTTTTTTAGCGCGGAGCTAGCTTTGGGAGGGAGTTTAAGCTAGCGTCAACTCTGCTGCAATACAAAGTTATTAAATGTGTTTAAGTTACACATTTATCGTTAACTCGAAGGAAATGTAAGTTACATAAGTGTGGAGGTGATAAACCCCTACGTGGTGAACAGTTCTGGAAAACTGAGTGGACATGCGAGTCTTAAGACTTTTTTGGTTTTGGTCTAAATCTAGAGCAGGTCTGAGATGACTTGGACCGGGATTTTTTTCTGATTTGGGATCCTATTTTCAGCTTTAAGACCTTCCTTTTAAGCTTAATTTGACAGCATTTGTGTTTTGAACTTTAAACTAATCTTAGCTAGACACTTGGTCCGCTCACCGTGGCTTTGGTTTTGTTGTCTAGATGTAAATTTATATTTCAAATCAATAAAAACGTTTAAAAATGATAATCAAGTTAGAAATTGATGGTTTCTGGCATAATATTCAGTCTTCACTAAAACTGTCCTCACTGCATTTAGTCTATCGTCTATTAGGTGCTAACCTTATGCTTTCTCATGTTTTGTAGAAAATTAGGTGGATGGAGAGACAATTGATTGCGGTTTGACAGAAAACATGATCATCAGTTTTGCTCACTGCCAGGAGGCCACAGATGAGGCCACAGATGAGACCACAGATGAGACCACAGATGAGACCACAGATGAGACCACAGATGAGACCACAGATGAGGCCACAGATGAGACCACAGATGAGACCACAGATGAGACCACAGATGAGACCACAGATGAGACCACAGATGAGACCACAGATGAGACCACAGATGAGACCACAGATGAGACCACAGATGAGACCACAGATGAGGCCACAGATGAGACCACAGATGAGACCACAGATGAGACCACAGATGAGGCCACAGATGAGACCACAGATGAGACCACAGATGAGACCACAGATGAGACCACAGATGAGACCACAGATGAGACCACAGATGAGACCACAGATGAGACCACAGATGAGACCACAGATGAGACCACAGATGAGACCACAGATGAGACCACAGATGAGGCCACAGATGAGACCACAGATGAGACCACAGATGAGACCACAGATGAGGCCACAGATGAGACCACAGATGAGACCACAGATGAGACCACAGATGAGGCCACAGATGAGACCACAGATGAGACCACAGATGAGACCACAGATGAGGCCACAGATGAGACCACAGATGAGACCACAGATGAGACCACAGATGAGGCCACAGATGAGGCCACAGATGAGACCACAGATGAGACCACAGATGAGACCACAGATGAGACCACAGATGAGACCACAGATGAGGCCACAGATGAGACCACAGATGAGACCACAGATGAGACCACAGATGAGACCACAGATGAGACCACAGATGAGACCACAGATGAGACCACAGATGAGACCACAGATGAGGCCACAGATGAGACCACAGATGAGACCCTCACTGAAAATGCACAAGGTATGAATTGGTGGCGGGCAGTGACTTTGAGTTGGGCGTAGTGGGAGGTATGATGATTATCAGTTTAAATGGATTATTTGGCTTAATTAATTAAAAGAAATGCTAACAAGTTATTAAACAGTATTAAAGAAAGAAGTTGAAGTGCCAACAGTGATCTAACAGGATTACGGGCAATGATTTCCTTAAAAATATACTCCTTTTTATTTGTCTTGAGTTAAAAAAAAAATCCTTTAGCCAACTTGTAGATTTCAGGGATTTTCAGCATCATAGTTCGCCTTGAAAAAATCTAAATAAGTTAATATTCTCAACAATACCCTTTTGCACTGAAACAGAAAGAAAATTGTTCTCAACACAAAAATGAAATTGAACAAATTGTTTTTAAACTCTGGGAATAGAAGGCGCACTTTCAGCAACAGAAGCAACATAATGTGGTGCTCTGACACGAGCTTTGTCATTGGGAATGTAATGTATGTATTACAATAATATTTCTATTTCCACAGATATTGATCTACAGGCAACTGCCATTTTCATGCTGATAAGATCGACGATCATTTCATTACTCTTGGAGAGGTATGTAGTATATGTTTTAACTATATTTACTTACATTTATATATAAAAAAGAAACAAATATGTCACCTGGATATAAGTTTCAAGTGTGAAGAAGAATAAATGAATGAATGGTGTAAATTTACACCATATAAGTCACTAAATCATAAATTATATAACTTCAATTTTGTAATTTTAATTTACAGGAAGACCCAAAACATCCGTATCCTACTATTCAGCTGCTTGGAGACTGGAAAAAGGCGTTCACCACCAGAGTCCCAACCGTGGTTAAAGTGGACAGCGTTGAGGCCGTTGTTCCGGCGTTGAAGATGAAGTCATCGCTGCATTCTGCACATACTTCATATTCAACATTCAGTATCAGCACCGCCTCAAGAACACTTTGAATTTTCTCCAAAGATACATTGAAAAATGTGAGCCGCAAAATGAATCTACTTTATTGATGCCACATCCATACATTATCCAAAATGTTCCTGCAGAGTATTCACATTGACTAAATGAATCCTGCACATTGGACTAATCCATGCCCATGAGCCCAACTTTAAAATGTATTAAGGATTCATAAGTGTTGTTTGTCTTTACAAATATTTGAATCTTTTAGACTCGTATATTGCAAGCGTATTAAGAGTAATCTTAATAATCTTAAATCTTAAAATAATCTTAAAATGTCTTTATTATTGGTTTGTTGCATTCTGAAAGGATTCCACTGTTCCTAAAAATCAGATACATTTTTAACATTGATACAGAGTGGGTTCTTTGTGGAAAAAAAAATATGTTCTTTAAGTATTGAACACCATTTATTTGCCTACTCGGTCAGGATGGATGAGAAATGGACTTTGACTAGACCAGGAGCAGTAGATCATAAAGCATATGATGTTTATTCTGTTGACAACACGTTTCTGTCCCTTCGATCTTGTGTTTGAAACATTGAATAAGTTGAATTGTTTGCACAAATAGTTTTTGTTAAATAAATTTAAGATGAATTGAATTCAGTTTGTTTTATAGCCTTAATATACAGTACAAAAAAATGTTTAATCCATAAAAGGAACCAAAATTGTACCTTTTTCTAAAAGGTACAATTTTGTTCCTTGTACAAAATAAGGTACACAATTGTCCCAGTAAGGTACACTATACAAGGGTACATAAAAGTACCCCATATTAGGGGTGTCTGCCCCAGTGACAAGCAATTGTACTCCTATGAGGACAAATCCGTACCTTTATTTCTGAGAGTGTCCACAGCCTCAGTCCTGGGTCCACAGCCTCAGTCCTGGGTCTACAGCCTTAGTCCTGGGTCTACAGCCTCAGTCCTGGGTCCACAGCCTCAGTCCTGGGTCTACAGCCTTAGTCCTGGGTCTACAGCCTTAGTCCTGGGTCTACAGCCTTAGTCCTGGGTCTACAGCCTTGTCCTGGGTCTACAGCCTCAGTCCTGGGTCTACAGCCTCAGTCCTGGGTCTACAGCCTCAGTCCTGGATCTACAGCCTCAGTCCTGGATCTACAGTCTCAGTCCTGGGTCTACAGCCTCAGTCCTGGGTCTACAGTCTCAGTCCTGGATCTACAGCCTCAGTCCTGGATCTACAGTCTCAGTCCTGGGTCTACAGCCTCAGTCCTGGGTCTACAGCCTCAGTCCTGGGTCTACAGCCTTAGTCCTGGGTCTACAGCCTTAGTCCTGGGTCTACAGCCTCAGTCCTGGGTCTACAGCCTCAGTCCTGGGTCCACAGCCTCAGTCCTGGGTCTACAGCCTCAGTCCTGGGTCTACAGCCTCAGTCCTGGGTCTACAGCCTTAGTCCTGGGTCTACAGCCTCAGTCCTGGGTCTACAGCCTCAATCATGGGTCTACAGCCTCAGTCCTGGGTCTGCAGCCTCAGTCCTGGGTCTACAGCCTCAGTCCTGGGTCTACAGCCTCAGTCCTGGGTCTACAGCCTCAGTCCTGGGTCTACAGCCTCAGTCCTGGGTCTACAGCCTCAGTCCTGGGTCTACAGTCTTAGTCCTGGGTCTACAGCCTCAGTCCTGGATCTACAGCCTCAGTCCTGGGTCTACAGCCTCAGTCCTGGGTCTACAGCCTCAGTCCTGGATCTACAACCTTAGTCCTGGGTCTACAGCCTCAGTCCTGGGTCTACAGCCTCAGTCCTGGGTCTGCAGCCTCAGTCCTGGGTCTACAGCCTCAGTCCTGGGTCTACAGCCTCAGTCCTGGGTCTACAGCCTCAGTCCTGGGTCTACAGCCTCAGTCCTGGGTCTACAGCCTCAGTCCTGGGTCTACAGCCTCAGTCCTGGGTCTACAGCCTCAGTCCTGGGTCTACAGCCTCAGTCCTGGGTCTACAGCCTCAGTCCTGGGTCTATAGCCTTAGTCCTGGGTCTACAGCCTCAGTCCTGGGTCTACAGCCTCAGTCCTGGGTCTACAGCCTCAGTCCTGGGTCTACAGCCTCAGTCCTGGATCTACAGCCTCAGTCTTGGGTCTATAGCCTTAGTCCTGGGTCTACAGCCTTAGTCCTGGGTCTACAGCCTTAGTCCTGGATCTACAGCCTCAGTCCTGGGTCTACAGCCTCAGTCCTGGGTCTATAGCCTTAGTCCTGGGTCTACAGCCTTAGTCCTGGGTCTACAGCCTTAGTCCTGGGTCTACAGCCTCAGTCCTGGGTCTACAGCTTCAGTCCTGGGTCTACAGCCTCAGTCCTGGGTCTACAGCCTCAGTCCTGGGTCTATAGCCTCAGTCCTGGGTCGACAGCCTCAGTCCTGGGTCTACAGCCTTAGTCCTGGGTCCACAGCCTCAGTCCCATGTTTTAGGCAGAGAAAGAACCACTAAAGTAGAATATAATCTGGATAAACCTGAGAACCTGGTAAATTGACTGGAGGAATGACCCTTCTGTTTTAAAGCAGGGGTACCTAACTTTTAAACCACCACCATTTTGTTTTCAGCCTCTGTCACATTTTTTAATCACATTTTTCAGACAGAACAGAAACCTTCAACTGCTGAAGATTCAATGATTTAATTTGTTTGTTTTAAAAGAGGAAAATTATGTTTGGATTTATGTACAATTGTTTTATTTATGTTATTGTTTTTTTTATAATTTGTTATTTTTATGCACTATTAATGTTAATTTTGAGGTATTTTGTATAATACTTTTATTTCATTTAATGTATTTCTTATTTAATTACATTTATTGTATGTAATGTAAATGTGTTTTTATGTATTTTCTGTTGATATTATTATGTAATATTTATGTTATTTATGATGTAATTTAAATGCATTTTCATGTAATTTAATTTATTTTGGTTATTGTTTTTTTATTTTGATGTCATTGTTTCATGATAGTAATTTTGTATATGTGATTGTTTTTATGATAATGTCTGTATTTTTCAGCTTTTTTCAGAGTTTCTCCCGAACAGAAAAGGCGCCTCTCGTCTCACTCTTTCGAACAAATAAAATCCATCTATTCTGGGCTCGTCGTCTCTTCATGAATTCACAGAACACAGATGTCAGAGAAACGAGGACACGTCACCTTCAGGAGAGAGTCCGACCTATTCTTTGGCTGACCCACATATCGCCTCCTGCAGTCATTAGTGTCCCTTGGGCTCGTCGCGGTCCTGCCCCTGTCTGAGCGAGACGTCTGTGGGGAGGAGGCTTCTGTTATAGAAATATATACCCCATGAAGGAGGAAACTCAAAGGTCCTTTGTCTGATCAAAAGCGTAAGTTTATTGTTAACGCACAGTGCGGAGGGCCAGCACATCCACTCAAAAGCAGCATGTCCCAGCTCTGGGGGCCAGAGCCCCGAGCTTCCTGTATACAAGACACACACCAAAGATAGTCACGCCCACAACGGAGCGGAGGGGGCCACCGGTGAGGAGGCGCACAGGAAGCGCCGGCGCCATCCCCTGTGGTGGCAGTGGCATGGGGTGTGAACAGACAGACAATGGTGGAAATGCAGGTCATACAGATGCAAGACGGAAAGACACAAGGGTGTGACAGACAGCAGGGACCTTCACAAAGCTCAGCATGGCGTCAGAAGGTCGTCTGCATTGATAAAAGGCCTTTGCTGCGGCTGGTTTTATGTAATTACTCCAAAAACTGTCACCACACTCCCCTCTTTTGATAATTCAAAACCATTTTTGCATTAATCAGTTAAATGCCAGAGGCATCGTAATCACACCACCTTCAAGCTTGAAACACTTAAATTATTGCTGTCCAAAGTGGACAAGAAAAGACACATGCTTGTCAATAAAAGAAAGAGCACATTATAATAACACAATGGATCCGGACAGCGATAAGAGAAGGCAATATTAACATAATAAACACGGTCAGCACGGAAAGTAGTGTCAGTGTGGCCAGCATAACAGTCCAAGGGCCCATGCCGGTCTACGTTCGGTAGTCTTTTCCGCGGGAATACTCACGAGCAGTGCCGTCTCGCAGTCAGTGGCACCGCTCCCTATGAGCGTGTGTGGAGCGTTAGTGGTCATGGCGATGTTTGGTCTTGGAGCGGCAAGA